TTAGATTATTACACTTCATTTTTATGCTTTGCTCCATCACTGCATTAGTTCCAGTAAGGGTGGGGGGGCGTGCAAGCAACAGACAGAAGAAAGCAAAGAACATGTCGAGAGGAAAAGAATGAGAGCATGCTGAATAAGGCACTCCATTAGCTGGAGACATTTCTAGCACTTGTGTAAAAGCTGCCGTCATTAAAGCTAACATGTAAACATTGCAGCAAGCAGAGGTAAATGAGCATAAAGAAAACCTAAATTATCATGTTTCAAATATCAACCCAGTATATTTTAGCCCTCTCCTCCATTATCTCCACCTCAGTGTTTGCCTCTGGCTGACTGCTCCTTGACAGTGTAGATACAGAACACAAATCAAGGTTCCAAAACATTTTTCCACGTGTTCTTCAGCAGCTTCTAGCTTCATTTTTCTTATAAAGAAGAAACAAGTTCACTAACTGCAAACTACCTGCTAGGCAGCAAATCAACTTGAAAGTGTTTTATGTTTCTAATATTTCATTACGTGATTATAATAAATGGTTCAAATCCAAGGCCAGACTAACAATGTGGGATTTCAGTGAAGGCATTTCGAGATACCTCGAAGCAACTTAACCCAAACTGATACAGCTTAATCCCTTAGACATCCAGTGTTTGCTCTAGAACATAAAAACCATAACATTAAGTGCTTACAAGAAAATTTATTAAACTTCAAAAAAATCACTGGCTTCTGTGTACTTAAGAAAATTAATTGAAGCATAAAAATTTAATTAATCTCTCAGATGCCTAATAATTTCACTTTCCAGTCAGAAGATTCACTCCACAATCAACATTGCAACTAGTTTCCAGTACAGAAATCTCACCTAAGCCTTTCTACATTGTGTTTTTATCAGAAAACATAAGAGTGCCAGTAGATTCACAAAAGAAAATGCCTTTGAAGAACCTGAAATGTGTGAAAGTTTCAGTTACGGCTAGTTAAAAAGGTATGTGTGATTAACTTCCCTGCTCACTCCTATTATGACCATCCCACTCCAGGGGTGGGGGAGAAAGAAGAAAATAAAAAAAAAAGAAGGAAAAAAAAGAGAGAGATACTAGTCTTACTTCCTCACTTATGCTTAAACAACACTTAATTAAGTGGAATACACTTTAACAAGCCATCTCTGAACCACAGGGTTCATAAGCAGCAGAACATGAATCAAAGCAACGTGAAGCTGCAGTAAATTACACGACAGCAAGTTTGTCTGCCACAGCACGAGAATAAAAAAATTGAGGGTGAGAGAAGACAGGGAGTTAAGACAAGGAAGAGAGAAGGGGAAGCAGCAACATATTTTGTATCAGCATTTTTTTTGACTGTGTCTTTCTCTTGATACTGTTTGATGCAATTGTCATTTTCTCTGAAAGTTGTTCTGTTCTCTCCTGCAGATGTTAGTACCAGCAGAGCAAGGAGAATGCAATTAGAGCTAGCTATAAACCTGCCGGGTAACTCTCCTTCTAAGTGTTCATTAGATGAAGATAGATCTGCCCTTTTAATTCAGAGACATTGCATACTAAGTACAAGTTAATAACTACTTAGGACTTCAATCCCTGACAGAGTTACATATGCAGGCTACTGTCTCTGAGAAGAGATAAAGACATGGAGAGAAAAAACAGCCATCAAGTTAATCATGACCAAAAATCATTACCATCTAAGACTGAGTGTCTGATGAAGTTTGTTTCAGGACCATTTGACATAGTTATATGTTGTGTCCACGAACATATTAGAGCTGAAGAAAGCGCTGATGTATAGACACTATCACCAGACATCACTGCAGCTGTACATGTTTTCACGCAAAGGACCCAGTTCCTGTTTCTGTCAGTCTTTGCTGTAGATTTCAAAACAGCAAATTAAAATTGGTTGAGGACAACTAAAAGTTCACAAGTCACACATATCAACTTCCACACCACAGGGTGAGACCAGTCCATCAGTACCATGATGCAGAGGAGAACGGACACAACCTCCTGCCTTCTACAAACCCTGCTGGGAGCTGCTACAAAATCTGCAGTCCAGTATTCCTGGCAGCAAAACACTGCCCACAGGCAGGTCGAACCCCACCTTAGAAGAATGCAAGAGACATCCCTGCAGCAGCCTTTCAAGCACAGACCTCCTGCTCCTGCTTTGCAAAGATTTCTCTGGGGATGCCCATGTCTGACTCATCCTTTGCAATACATTTCCCTTTCCTCCAAATGCAGATTGGGACTTCAGCTATGTTGTGAAACTTTTTGTTTTATATTTGAAAAGCCTTTTAGGAATTTGATTTTCCTAGAATCATGGAAAGTTGCACACCCTAGTGCTGCATAAGACAACCTTCAATTACCTCCTGAGCCCAAATTTTCTAATGTCTATTCACAGCAACTTTAGGTCCCAGCCACCTACATTTCTTCAGAAAATCACCCTTCTTCATATCAGGAGAACATATTGTGAATCACTCTTGAATGCATCTTGCCTTGGTTTTGTAACAAACTGAGGTACTTTCAACTAGTCACCATCTGAAGGAATGCACGTGCAACTGACAGAAGTAAAGCAATGAGAGCAGGAACTATCCAAAGGTACAGTTGCCTTGCTCGGAATGATCCTTTATCCACATTGTTTGAAAACAGCGTTACCAATGCTGCACCAGACTTTATTCACTCAGTGCATTCAATGCAAGCATAAGAGTCCATCTGGGCACAGCTCATTGCAGAAACACCACCAAGTATAAGCTGGATCCTACAATCAAGTTTAATTAGAATCACTGGGACTTAGCAAAGGTGTACAGATCGATCATGTTGATCCACTTGTAGGCTCATAGCCTTACTGTAAAGACATAAAGCATGTTGTTATTACTTCAAATAATCCAAGCTGATCTTCTTTAGAGAAATGAGGTCTGATCTTACAGCTGGTTCTGCACAGGTAGGGCTTTCCTCTCCACAAGGTTCCAGAGACATTAACTGGCATACGGCAATTTTTCCTTGTAAGAGGATGGAAAAGAAAAACAGGAGGCAATAATAGGAATGAATCTCCTTCCCCTGGAGCACTCTTTTCTCACTGTCTTCAAGTCTTCCCAGGGTCCAGAATTATTAAAACAGATAGTAAGATAAAGTTTGTTGCACTCCACTCCTCATAACATCTGCCTACTTGGCTGGGTGACTATATGCCTACACCCAGCCCTGGGTAATAGTATGTAAACATAGAAGACAAATTTTAAGTAGAACGTGTGCAGCAATTGCTAGGAGGGTTATGATTACATCACGGAAATCCACTCAAAAGTTGTAAGATTAGTTGTGTAATTAAAAGAGTATTAAAGGAATAGTTTAAGAATACACAAAATTTGCAAGCACCACAAGAGCTAAATAAACTTACGTATTCATTTCAGTTTTCTGTTTATGACATGTCATCAGCTTGTGCTCGTCACTGTCAGTGGTACATCAGTAAGAGCCTCAGAGAGCTCTTATGCTCTCTCTCAGGAGCCATTTCTTAACACGGAATTCCCTTTGAGAAATCTGAGTGAAAGCCAGGTAATTAACTTTTTGAAGTACTATGGAAGAAGTGAGTTTTCAAAAAAGGAAAATTATCCACACTTTTTTTTCAATTTTTTTATTTTCTCCTTTTCGGCATTTTCTTAAATAAACACCAGTAAGTTGTTGGTCTAAAAAAGATTATTGTATTAATTTATTTTTTAACTCAAAGTTCAACATGACCTAGACATTTATTTCTAAATCTATGGTGAGATGTATTATTGGAAGCTTTACAAAACAAGGATTTCTCCTATTGTCACAATTTTTTAAGAAGCAAGATAGAAAGTACTGTTCTTCATTAATATACTATTTTTTCAACATCTCCAGGCTGAAGTAAACAAACAAAGAAGGCAAAGATGTATACATTCTCCCATCGCTTTTTTTCTGTGCCTTATAGTTCCAGGATTTCATAAGATTTTCAAAGGATCCAACCTAAACATGAGCACAGTATTACAAGAGTAATACTGCTCTGTCTAGAAGTCAGGGACAACAAATGGTTGCATTATTAAAAATCTGTTGGTGGTGGTATTGGGTTTTTCTTAAACTAATGTTAGGGCTACACTTCTTTTACATAGTTTTCTTTATTTCTAAGTGAAAGAATTTAAATATTATCCCAAAGTAGACTTGAACTGTGAATTTTAGCATTACTACTTTGTGAGACAAGGATTTCCTTTAACAGGTATCAATATTACTTGCAAAATTAAATAACCTTTACCCCACCCCATTAAAAAGGTGGGATAATTTCTGGAGTTCATTCTGGGCCTAAAAAGGTGTTGGGCTGGCCTAGAATTGCTCTGCTTCCATTCATCTACTAACAGTACATGCAGAATTGTATCCAATTTCTTCCTTCCCAAGAGTTTCATTTAGCCCATACCCAAGCACATCTCTACATTGTTGTCCCTGTAGACCTACATCACTGATTTAAACAAGCAAGATTAACCAGAAGCTTAAATAAAAAAATTACTTTTTTCCTAGTAGAGTTTTGCCAGTAATAAGTATAATAATATAATTAACTATCTAGTGTTCTTCACATCTCAGTCCCCACTTCTATATGCATAAACCAGTGAAAGCAAGTTCTTCCTTAGGTGGTATATTGGACTAGTTAGAACTATTCTAAAAAGTACTCTAAATTTTGCTTACAGTACCCTGCACATTCCTCCAAGAGTTCTGTACTATGCTCAAGGGCTTACAAGGTGTTTTGCATAAGTCTCAACTATTCACTTTTCCAGGTCTTTGGGACAAAGACTTTAATAACACGACCTGAAGAAAAGGAACAATTAAAGGCCTCAGCCAGTTGTACTGGCATCCCTTTCATTCAGTTTGCTTTTCTAGCATGCTAATTGAGTGCAGGAATGAGCTAACATAATAATGGCTGAAGAAATAGCATTCAGATATTTTAAGGCACGGGCTGAACTCAGGATTCCATATAATGCTAAATTCTTGGACTTACGTACTTAACTGCCTTCTATTTTGGGACTCACTCAGAATGTTCCTGCTTGCTCAGTAATTCACTGTCACAGTACTTAAATGTAGAGCTACAGTTGTCCAGGGCTGCCTCGTGTTTTCCAGACTCTGAAGGAAGAATGATTGAGTATCAGAGATTCAGCTAAAGCTATGTTATCAACCAGTTTCTCTTTTGATTCCTGTGCCACTACACTTCTATCAAAGAATCTAGGACTTTGTCTTTCCAAGTTGCATAAATAACATCGGGAATACAAAAAAATATTACAGGCCTTGTCTTGAGAGGGGTAATAATATGTTCTAGGCTACACTCGATAGGCAGGCTAGGTTAAGCATGAACCAAAGTCAGCTGCCTGTGTTTAGAGAGAATCTCAAGCTTCACTAACTTTGCTGACACCCACTCATACCTCTATGAATTTTCTTTGGGGCCCAATCTGTGTTTCCCTCTGACCACATCTTATAAAATATGCGTGCAATCATATTCATTCTCCTCCTTTGCAATGGGAGCAGGCCAGGAGATGAGCTGTAGCAATGGACCACATACACACTGAAAAGTGTACGAAGACACTTGTAACCCAGTCATTTCTGATTAATTCTTTATATCCTTCAACATCTATTCTCAAGACCAGTTCAAATGAAGTTTAAATACAGTTTGGAATCATTCTATCACACTCAAAATGAGAAATTACTCTATAAATGTCTTTCTTTCCCCACCAACCCCCATCGCCTTCTCCTGCAATGTGCCCAAAACCACACCATGCTCTACAAGTAAATCCATTTCATGGCTTTTGACACATGACCACTAAAGTAAGACTACTTCATACCACTGACACTGAAGCTGTGCTGGCACAAATTTTAGATAGTATTCTTTGTATAATAATGGCCAGTCTTCGCGAGCAAAGATTTGGGAAAGGTCATTAACCCTTCGAGCCTGCGCAGTGGATTTTTTTAGGTGAGACCCAGCGTGCGCTGAACTGAGCCCACCCTTTAATCCTGAGGTTCATCTGCCGGGGCCGAGCAAGCTTGGACAGGGGGCCCCTGGTGGTCTAGTGGTTAGGGTGCAGGACTCTCACCGCTGCGACC